CGGAGAGGCAGCTTATCTGTCATTCCTCTGGGGTGGGGCTTTGAAGCAAGCTTCCTGGGAACAACTCCAGAGGGGCTGGCAGGTATCTGGGCCAGGCCAGAGAAGCAGGCAGGGAGGGAAGGGCTTAGCTGAGGAAATTGGGCCATGCAAGAAGGAAGTCGTTTCTTCAGCCCTCCTCCAATCCGGAGTCCAAATCCAGAGCTAGGCTGGAAGTTCACAGGAAGGGAGAAGAGTTCAAGAGAAGTGAGTCAAAACGGGGATATGACTGATGGTGTTCTTCAAAAGTACACTGCATAGGCCAGGCATGGTGGCTCACGCTTGTAATCCCAGCACTTTGGGAGGCCAAGGCAGGTGGATCACCTGAGGTCTGGAGTTCAAGACCAGCCGTCATGACCAACATGGTGTTACCCTGTCTCTACTAAAAATACAAAAATTACCCATGCATGGTGGCACGTGCCTGTAATCTCAGCTACTCAGGAGGCTGAGGCAGGAGAATTGCTTGAACCTTGGAGGTGGAGGTTGCAGTGAGCAGTGAGCCGAGATGGCACCACTGTACTCCAGCCTGGGCAACAGAGCAAGACTCCGTCTCAAGAAAAAAAAAAAAAGTAAACTACACGATTCCAATGAACTGGAAAGAGTCAAAAAATGTTTAAAAAAAAGAAAAAAAAAAAAAAGAAAAGTAAACTGCATGAGTCCAACAAATGTGTAAACAAAGTCCCTCATTGCTAAAATGAATCAGTGAAAACAAGACACCATTTTCCTTTTGTCTATGAAATTGACGAAGTATATGGACTGCAAATTTTAGCAAGTTTTCTGTAGGGTAATTTAGTAACAAGTATCAAATGTATTTTAAAATGGCCATATCTGTTGACCTAGCAATTTCACTTTTAAAAATGTCTCCTATGAACATAATCAGAGGAGTGCCCAAAGAAACACAGCAAAATGTTTGGTAAGAAAAAATTGGGACTTACCTATATAATGAAATAGCATGCAGTTATTGAAGTCTTGTATGTTGCCATAGGAAGATGTTTACAATATATCACCATGTCAAAGGTTTTGAAACTTTATATATAGTATTGTACCAAAAAAACCCCACTCTCTATAAAATATGCAAATCTATGCATAGAGGAACAATGGGAGGTTCCTACATCAAAAGTAACAATAGCCTTTATCTCCAGGGGAGTAGAAATACAGGTGATTTTTTTGGAAGGGGGAGTATGTTTTCTGCATTCTACATTGAGCATTTGTTATTTTTGTCATGAGATGACATTATATAAAAATTGAACAGATTGATCACATCTAGGATTATGCCTAACCAGAAACGAAAGCTCCTGTGTCATCTAGATTCTGGAATTACTTTCCTAAATCTGTTTTTCTTTCTGAAGTCTTTTCTCCCTCAGCAGAGGCATTTATGTGGACCCAGGAGTGGGGCACATGGCCTTTTCTCCATGCCCATCACCTCAAAATGCCCCTGTGTTTCTTAGTCTCTTTTCAACATATGTGAGCAGATAATGTATCTGGCCCTGAAATTTAAAAACAAAACCAAAGCAATCTAGTGTCAGACACCACCCTCTGAGCCTGCCCCACTCCCAGTAATTGCTGAGCTGGGTGTCTGTCCCAGCTGGGGATTGGACGATGGGTGTCTGTGATGATGGCTCTGCCTCCCCCACAGCATCTGTGTAAGAGGCACTCCGTTTATTTGCAGATTCCCATTCTGCTGTGGATGCTCTTTCAAGCCCTCAACTGAACTCTAGTGAACGAAGCTGGGGGGAGTCCCCAGAGTGATGCGTGAGGATACCGACTCCCCTTCCCATCCAAGGAGCCAAGACCCTGAAAACTTGTGGTGGGCCTCAAATACCCACCAGGTCTTGGAGTCCTCACGAGCCTCTTTCTCTCCCTCAGGCACAGCCAACATCAGCCTGATTCGGTGGATATGGAGGTGTCAGGCAATGAGTCTTGTTGCATATCTACCCCACTCCCCAAAAGTGGCAAAGTGCAAACTGTTATTCATTCAAACTGCCACTTGATTATGTTGAAGGCCAGTTACTGAACCCAGAGAGAACAGTCTTCACGGTGGGTAGGAGCTTCCTGTCAAGGAGAGTTAATTTTAATTTTTCCACTGAGCTCAACCTCAAAGTGAGGTTGATTGCTATTCAGCAAGATGGACCACATTAGTGGCGGCTTTAATTGGGCGCAGAGCTACATCCCCAAAGCATAATGTTTGTTGTATACATACTTTGGGGCAAGACGAAAAATGAAAAGCAGACCTTTCTGAGGAAAAACAGAAAGCACAATGTGTCCCACAGTCAGAATGGCCACACCAAGAGCCAAGTGGAGGGGGGCTCAGTGGGACTCCCCACCTCCCCATGCCACAGTTCCGATGAGCTGTCTGCAAATGTTTCCAAATGCTCAGTTCCCTTCCCAAACACTGGACACCATCGTGGTTCTCATGCCAGATAAAAAGCTCCAGGAAACCAGTGAAAGATGAGCGCGCCCTTGGCCGAGGGGCCATGGCATGTATTTCTGGTGTGAGGCTTCCTCCTGGCCCAGGGTGTTGGTCCCTGCTAGCATCTAACATGGTCACTTCTGTCCACATGCTTTTACCAGTGGCCTTGAGATGAGCCCTCAGCTGGAGTGCAATGCCACTTTTACCCTCTTACTGGTACAGCTCCAGACCCTTGTCACGTCTTCCCTGAGCTGAAGTACTGGTCTTCACGCAATTGAGGGAGATGTCTTCTTAAACCCAGGTTGTATCACTTCTCTTTAAACACTCTCTAAAGCTCTCCTTGACTCCCAAACACAGATCCCAACATCCAGCATCCCCACACATCAGCCAGATTGATTTTTCTTTTTCTTTCTTTCTTTTTTTTTTTTTTTTAGACAGAGTCTCTCTCTTCTGCCCAGACTGAGTGCAGTGGTGCAATCACAGCTCACTACAGTCTCAACCTCCCTGAGCTCAGGTGATCCTCCCACTTCAGCCTCCCCAGTAGCTGGGACTACAGGCACATGCCAGCATGCTCAGCTATTTTTTTCTTTATATTTTGTAGAGATGGGGTTTCATGACGTTGCCCAAGCTGGTCTTGAACTCCTGGTCTCAGGCCACCCTCCCGCTTTGGCCTCCCCAAAGTGCTGGGATTACAGGTGTGAGCCACCTTGTCTGGCCAGATTGATCTTTAAAAAAGTAAAAAATGCTTACTTCTTTCTTAAAATCCTCTAGCAGACTTCCGCCACACTTGCAATAATACTCAAACTCCTTCCTATGGCAGGCAGGGCCCACCACGATCCAGTCCCTCTACCTTTCCAAACTTCTGTACCACTATTCCCCTTGCCACTTCAGCCACTGGCTTCCTTTCTGTTCTCAGCACTTGTTCCCTCTGCCTGGATGAAATACTTTCTCTCCAACTCATCCTCAACCTTCTCACCCTCAGTCTTGGCTTAAACCCCACTTCCCCATAGTGGCCTTTCCCGACCACCTTGCCTGAAGCAGGACCACGGTCATTCTGTATCATGTCATGAAGTTTTAGGTCCTTCGGACAGCTCTCACTGCTCTCTAAAATTATCTTTACTTGTTGTTTATTCCTACCCCCATTAGTATCTGACCTTCCTAAGGGACCTTCACTAACCTGTTCACTTCTTTTGTTTTTTGAGACACAGTTTCACTCTGTTGCCCAGGCTGGAGTGCAGTGGCGTGGTCTCGGCTCACCACAACCTCCACCTCCTGGGTTCAAGCAATTCTTGTGCCTCAGCCTCCCAAGTAGCTAGGACTGCAGGCATGCGCCACCACGCCCGGCTATTTTTTTTTTTTTTTTTCGTATTATTAGTAGAGACAGGGTTTTTCCATGTTGGCCAGGCTGGTCTCCAACTCCTGACCTCACGTGATTTGCCTGCCTCGGCCTCCCAAAGTGCTGGGATTACAGGCATGAGCCATTATGCTCAGCCTCTGTTCACTTCTTTACCATCAGCACCCAGCACAGTGCGAATAGATTGCAAATCATTATTTGGGGATGGATAATTGATTACAGGAAATAGACAATGCTTCCTGAAAGGCCTTTGTTGTCCCCAGGCTCCATACCTTAGATGGTGCTGTTTCCTTGGCTTGGCCCGTGCTTGCCTCCTTCTTCCCCTCCATCACCAAATGTTGACACTTGTAGTGACACAGGTCCCTCCCTGCCCCACCCCACAGGCAGGAAGAACCCATGTTTCCTCTGTCAGCCCATCTCCACCCCGGCCCCACCATGCTGCCTTCTGGTCGAGCCACACTCCAGAGCCATCTACTTCAAGAGGACTAAATTTACTGTTCCTGGAAATTCTTGCCTAGAAAGATAAAGCTGTAGCCCATTAAATAACTTCACCGCTGGCTTCAAGAACTTCCCTGCAATCAATTCAAACAATAGATGGCTCGAAATGCCCTCCTTCTCAGAACAATGCTCTGCCCAGCTGGGCAACAGCTCCCAGCTCCCCAAAGCAACACCTTCCCGTTCACATCGTGCCAACGTGAATTTGTGAACTTTGCTCAATCCCAACCCAATCCTCTCATGGAAGGCCTTGCTTTAAACCATTCAGTTGAGCCTCCATCTCCAAACCCTAAAAACATACGGCAGGTTCAGAGGAGAGGCTGGGTGAAGGCAGCCCTGATGAACAGGTTATTTTGGAGGGCTTTCAGGCAATTTGGCAGGTCCAGATCTGCGACCACCGTAGAGTCCAGCACCAGGCTCCACTGTGTATAGTGAATGATGAAAGAACGAATGAACGAACGAATAGCTCAGCTCGCCTACCCCAGCCTACACCCTGTCCTTTCTTGAGACAACCGAGCCAGAATAACAAAACAGTGCAGGTGGCGTAGGGGACTGGGTAAGAGCAGAGCTTTGGGACTTCATTTGCAATAACTAGTCCTTATTCTGGGAACTGGAATCCACGGCAGAAAGCGTGGGCGGCCCCTGAGTTTCCCGGACCCGGGGCAGGGCGCCGCGCGCCCACAGATTTCTCTCCCCTGCGCCCAGGGCGACGGCGCTGGACCGCTACCGGCTGCAGAAGGCGGGGTTCACGCACGTGCTGAACGCGGCCCACGGCCGCTGGAACGTGGACACCGGGCCCGACTACTACCGTGACATGGACATCCAGTACCACGGCGTGGAGGCCGACGACCTGCCCACCTTCGACCTCAGTGTCTTCTTCCATCCGGCGGCCGCCTTCATCGACAGAGCGCTGCGCGATGATCACAGTAAGAGACCCGCGGCCCCGCCCCGCCCGGATCTGCCCCGCCACGCCCCGCCCGGATCTGCCCCGCCACGCCCCGCCCGGATCTGCCCCGCCCTTCCCCGCCCGGATCTTCCCCGCCCTTCCCCGCCCGGATCTGCCCCGCTCCGCCCGGATCTGCCCCGCTTGTAGTCTAGGCCCCGCCCCTTTCCCCGCCCCGCCAAGGCTCCACCCCTAGCCTAGGCTCCGCCCTTAGCCCAAGGTTTCCCCGCCCGAGGCCCAGGACGGAAGCGGGATGTACGCGTGCGAAATCGTTTTTGTCGCAAAGCTAGGCCCCTGGGGCTGCTTGTGGCCTACGGTAAAGGTCTGAGCCCCTGGAAGCTGTGAAAGTTTAAGGACCTGCACCACCGAGCGTGCTGCTGGCGGGGTTCGGACCTTGATTGCAGCTCTGGGGAATGGAAATAGGGCGTAAAAAAAAAGGCCTTTTGGTCGGAGTCTTTGCTAAAGGACATTTGCCGTCCTTCAAAAGGCGGAGGCGGTCTGGGAGCCCTCAAAGCTGGGACTACGGCCGGAGACAGTAATTGTGCCTGGGCCTGAACCAAACCAGTAGCCAAAGGCTTTGATGCCGGAAAACCCTCAGGGAGCTGACTTGAGTGGGAATCCATGGAGAGACCTTAAATTCTCCTGCCCACCATCCAATTTCACAGCCCGCCTTCTAGCCGCCATGTCCCCATTTACACTTAACCTAGTGAGGCCTCCAGTAGACAGCTGACAAGCTGAGCTTTACTGGCACAGTGCATTTGAGGTATAATTTGGGTTTTGCACTTCCAGCTTCGAAGTTTTCCCAGCGTTAATTATCCATCTTTTAAATCACAGTGCTAGTCTTTGTGCTCAGAATGCACTGCTGGCTACCCTAATCCAGCAAAGACTACAAGGCTATCTTGGAGAGAAGGGCACAGCTTAGGGACGCATCGGGGGTAAGACAATATACAGTTATTGCTGCAGGGTGTACTTTAGTGGCATTCCACAGAGGCCAGAGGGACTTCAGCTCCCTAATCTGTGCTCTGACTTCAGGCCAATGTGTCACACACCCCTTTGTGGAGCCATCACATAATTCAGGGTATCCGGTTACTGAAAGCCTTTCTTGCCACAAGAGGTCAGGTCTCAGTGACTGACCAAACTGTCTGCTGCAGGAACTTGCAACCTGGGTCTGGGCCTAGGCCAGGTCTGCTGGACAGTATCAGACTTTAATGGACATCCCAAGGTGGCCCTGTCCCCACAGCCAACCATAGCCACCAACAGTTTGTCATTATTTTGGCTCAGAAAGCAATGTCACAATGAAAAAAACCCTTAGAGCTAACATGCTTGTATTAGAAGATGCCTCATTTCCAGGCCTTCCTTTTATGAGTCTATTTATGAACCATCTTTTGTGCTGTGTATATTCTGGGTTTCCAAGTAGGATCAGAAAAGCAACTGAACTGAGTCATCACCACAAGGTAAAATTTGTCTCATAGTATTTGAAGTTAACTGAAAACATATTTGACATGAAAAAAACAAAGGCTGCAACAACCTAATCCTTCCGTTTCTGTTTAATGCACTCACTTGCCATTACTATGTTTTAGACCTTACCCTTCATGGAAAGGGCCTGGCAGGCTTCGGAGAACACAGGGCCGGGTTTACATTTCTGACACACAATTTACTAACGATGTGATTTCTCTGAGCCTTGGTTTCTCCATCCGGTGATAAAAATATTTACCTTCAGAGGTTATAATGAGGATCAGCAGTAATGCACATAAAGTGCTTAGCATAGAACCTGGCGGACAGCAGGCTCTCGGATGTATTTGATAAAGCATGGTCATATACCGTGAAGCATATAACCACGCCAGCATGTGCACATCATCATCGTAAAGTTTCCAATCCTCAAAGAAAATAAAAAAAGACATTCCAACTTTGAACTGTAAGATATACTCACATGAAAGCTTGTTTTAGGTTCCTGGCACTCAATTTTAGGGTCTGCCCCCACTGCCAAATCCAGAAAGAATCAGGGTCTCAAGTTGAAGCTTAGGCCTAGGCAGATGACAGAAAATTGTGAGGAGGTGTCAGGCTGCTGTGGATCATGACTGTTAGACCAGGTGGCACCTAGCAAATGAAGGGCCAAGGGAGGAGAGTAGATACTAGGATCAGAGACTTTGAGGGGGGTAGAATGAATGGATAGGGGTGCCGGGACTCGACCGGGTGGCTAGAGATGGGGAGCAGGACATGACCCCACTGGAGATGGCAGGGTAGGCTCTGCTCTCAGCGCCTTTGCACTGACGTGTCTAAAGAATTCAAGTCAGGGCTCAAATGCTTACCCTGCAGAACCATGCAGAGTGTAAACAAATGAAGCTGGCTGCATGTACAGCACGGAGGTGTGGGTAGGGGGCACTTGTGGCTAAGCAGAGAGCCCTGTACCCCCTTCACAGGGGCACCTACCACTCAGCCTCAGCTAATGCTTGTCTTATGAGAGTCAGTGCAAATGTGGGAGATCTGACTTTTCAGAAGTCTCCAATCTGGATTTTACTATAAAATCGCTTGATTTTTAGGTCTTGGCAACAGATTGAAATTTCTTAAAATGCTGCAAAGGACAAACTAAAGCAACCCAGTGGCCATCAGGTTGTAACCTGTGCCGTGAGTGGTCACAGCAACCAAACAAATTGGCCGCTAGCTTAGGAGCAGCAATACCATAGACTTCATACCCAGTGGATGGCAGGTGCTCAGCCCACCTGCCACATGCAATGGATGGCCCAGTTGTGTCTAGGCAAGGGACACTGCTTGGCATTTTAGTGCCAGACCCAAGGGAAAACCAAGGGACACTGCTTGGCATTTTAGTGCCAGACCCACTTGTATGTTTCTTACACTCTATGTAGGAGGTGTGGATAGATAGTCTCGCCAAAAAGCAAGGCATCACTCTTTGCTTCCTCTTGTCTATGTTCTTCGTTCTCATTGACTGGTTTCAGCCAAGTGTACACCATTCCCCCCACCTGGCTTCTCACAGCCAGTCTCTTTCACTCTTTTTGAAAAGCATTCCTTGTGGAGCTGTACTGTGGCTGTAATCAGCCCCTGGGGCCCTCTCCCACCCCATCCCTACCCTGACTTGACCCTTTAGAAAGAACTCCCCAGGCAACCTCAGTCACTCTTAAAATACCTTGGAGATAATCTAGTCCCCAGTCCTGCCCCGACAGCTGGGCAAACAGAGGCCCAGAGAAGCCAAGTGAGGTGCCCAGGGTCACAGAGCTAATCAGAGGCAGCGCCATCAGGACACCTGCCTACCAGCGGGGATTCCTTCTGTCACCGAGGCCTCACAGAAGAGTCCTCTGCCCTTATTTTGAGCACCTGGTGACTTTGCTGTATAAGAGGTCACCAAATATCACGGAGGGCGAGGCATGCCAGCTGGTTATAGGATCTGAAAAAACTGAACTTGTCACTCTTCATCAGAAAAATAAGTCCTCACAAAATACTGTCACAGGAACCCCACTTGGGTTGCCTTAACTGCCCCGATGCGGCATCCTCTGAGGTGAATTAGTGTGGTTTTAGTTTAATGAAGTCTTCTAAGAAACTCCAGGGCAAATGCCACGAGGTGCTTTAGTATCATGCTCTCCTTTTGTCTGCTCTTTCTTGTTCTTAAACAGTCCGTAGTCTGCTTTTGAAGGCATCTTAAAATCTATTATGAGGCCGGGTGCAGTGGCTCAAGCCTGTAATCCCAGCACTTTGGGAGGCCGAGATGGGTGGATCACGAGGTCAGGAGATCGAGACCATCCTGGCTAACCCGGTGAAACCCCGTCTGTACTAAAAAATACAAAAAACTAGCCGGGCGTGGTGGCGGGCGCTTGTAGTCCCAGCTACTCGGGAGGCTGAGGCAGGAGAATGGCGTGAACCCAGGAGGCAGAGCTTGCAGTGAGCTGAGATCCGGCCACTGTACTCCAGCCTGGGGGACAGAGCGAAACTCCATCTCAAAAAAAAAAAAAAAAAATCTATTATGGATAAGGGAGGTATGAATAAATAAATGAAGCCTGCTTTCAAGCAGGAGGTTGATTCTCTGGTGCTTCTAATAAGCTTTAACCAGACCAGATTTTCACTGTTTTGTTTTTGTATTTGTTTTTTGAGATGGAGTCTCGCTCTGTCACCCAGGCTGGAGTGCAGTGGCGTGATCTCCACTCACTGCAACCTCCACCTCCTGGGTTCATATGATTCTCCTGTCTCAGCCTCCCGAGTAGCTGGGAGGTGCTCACCACCACACCTGCTGAATTTTTGTATTTTTTAGTAGAGATGGGGTTTCACCATGTTGGCCAGGCTGGTCTCCAATTCCTGACCTCAAGTGATCCACCCGCCTTGGCGTCCCAAAGTGCTGGGATTGGAGGTGTGAGCCACCATGCCCGGCCGATTTTCACTGTTTAAGGGTCTCCTGCCCTATCTCCCTCCAGCCCCAGCAGTTCATAATACACCTTGCACCTTTTTTTCTCAGAACTTCCACACACCTAGAACCTCTTGGGAAGAAGTAAGGGCTCTACCAGAATTTCTTTGCAAGTTGATAAGAAAGGCAGGTTCCCAGATAGTGCATGGGAGGTGGGCAGAGAGCATCTCCTGAAAGCAAGGAAGGAGTCTGCTTAGCAAGGAGCACACCTGGCTGGGGGCGGGACATGGTGCAGGGTAACAGCCTTAGCCCATGTCTGATTTTCGTGACAGAGGCCTACCTTCCAGTCACTTCTAAAAGCACGCAGTTGAGGAGCAGTAGAGATTCTGGATTTGGGTTTTCTTTTCTGGAGATGGGGTCTTGCTCTGTCGCCCAGGCTGGAGTGTAGTGGCGCAGTCTCGGCTCACTGCAACCTCTAACTCCTGGGTTCAAGCAATTCTCCTGCCTCAGCCTCCTGAGTAGCTGGGACTACAGGTGCACCACCACGACTGGCTAATTTTTGTGTAGAGATGGGGTTTTGCCATGTTGGCCAGGCTTTAACCACATGGGCTCCAGGTGCTCTGATTGTGAGAACATAAGGACCTGCAAGCATAGGTATGCACTAGCTGCTGCTGTTCCTAAAGATGAACTCTGGTCAGGCACACCTCAAGGGCTCTGACTGTAGTCATGAAGAAAAGTATCTCCAAGCATGAGAGGGGTGCTGATCTCTCCCACTGTGTGCTCTGGCCAGGGGGACCCTTGGAGCTCTGACAGAAGTTGGGAAATAAAAGCCCAACGCAGGTATAGTGCTGGCCCCTGTGACTGTGAGAGATGTGCTCTGGCATGATGGGTCTCAGCTAATCTGACCACAAGAAGGAACAAAAGTGTTGCCTGGACCTTGATTCTTCTCAATGGGGCTGACTCCTCCAATGGTAACAGATGTGCGTTCACCCAGCTTGAACTCCCAACCTCAGGTGATCCGCCCACCTCGGCCTCCCAAAGTGCTGGGATTACAGGTGTGAGCCACCGCGCACGGCCTCATGCCCTAGTCTTGGAAACAAAATTCAGCTCTTGGAGCTCCTACCCGAGCTGAGTTTCCTCTGTCCCTCCTCTTCCCCTTTCTCTCCCGCTCTTTCCACTTCCCCCTTTCCTCCCACCCTCTCCACTTCCCCCTTTCCTCCTCCTCCCTCTCCCTTCCAACTCTTTCTCCCCTTCCCCCTGCCACTTAACAGACTTGAGGCCCCCAAAAGGCTTAATGAACTACAGCTTTCATCTGTTTCAAGTATTGAGTCATGACAGAAAGAATTACCCTGTTTTCTGGGAGAGGAAGAAACGCTTTGGTTATCAGCAGGGCTGGCCAGGGGCCCGGCAGCCTCCGGAAAGATCTGTGGGATTTGAATGCCAGGGGTAGACATTCATCCAGCTGGACACGTTCACACCCCAGGAGCACGGTCATGCCCGGGAGAACCTGGGACCAGCCTCCCTGAGATCCGAAACAGCAATCAAGAAGTGGGTGCTTGCTTTCTGGCCACGGTGCTCAGGGGAAAGGCAGCCCGGCCACACTGTAGGAGCTCAGCAGCCATTCATTAGCACAAATTGTGCTAAAATCGAGTTATTTACAGGGTTATTTGCCTTCTCAACAACCCTATGAAGAATACACTGTTCTACAGAGGCAGCTGTGGGGCACAATGCTGAGTCACTTGCTGTGGGCGAGAGGGTGACAGGATGGGAGTGGGCCCTACCTGTGCCTCCAACGCCTGCCCCTCAGTGTGGGTTTTCTCCTCCCCGCTTCTTCTGCAGGTAAGATCCTGGTTCACTGTGTCATGGGCCGCAGCCGGTCAGCCACCCTGGTCCTGGCCTACCTGATGATCCACAAGGACATGACCCTGGTGGACGCCATCCAGCAAGTAGCCAAGAACCGCTGCGTCCTCCCCAACCGGGGCTTTCTGAAGCAGCTCCGGGAGCTGGACAAGCAGCTGGTGCAGCAGAGGCGACAGGCCCAGTGCCAGGACAGTGAGGGAGATGGCAGGGAACTGTAGGGCCCGACTCACCTGGCCAGCAGAGGCACTGGGGACAGAGGGGAGAGGCACAACATAGCCCTGGCCTAGGACTCCAGATAAGGGACAGTTAAACCAAAGCTCGACTTCTTCCAAACCATCTTGTTCAACTTCCCCATGTGTGCTGGGGACAGGGAGGACCCAGAGTTGCCCCCGGGCAGAGCCGAGCACTCAGTCTCTCAGTGAAATGGGAGGGACGGGCTCCCGGCTCTGGGTCACAGAGGAGCATGCGACGCTGCACAGTCTCCCTGCCTTGCTTTTGTTTTTTTTGGTGAGAAGGAAGAGGGAAAGGATTTTAAAATGTGTAGGCATTATGTTGTGATTAAACGTTTGGCTTTGTCTGAAAGGAAATTCACGTTCTTATAAAAAGTATTTTAAAATAGAAATTGCTTTTCCAACTACGGAACAGTACTGGGTGAGCGGTGTCACAGGAGCGCCCACGTAGCCGTGGAGGCTCCTTCCCGGCATCCTGCGTTTCTGTGGCATCCCCTACACCCCGTTTGTCTTTTCAGCAGAACCCCCAGGCTCACGCCACCATCTCTAGATGTGCTTCTCCAGCTGGGTGGGGAGGGGTCCTGAACCCCCGTACAGAGGCCCCGGCTTCAGGCTTCCCCCACTTTCCTGAGGGACCCAGGGCTCCTCAGACTCTTAGCCAGGGCTGCCACTACTGAGAAAAATTCAATGAATTGTGGTGAATTTGGACAAGTAGGAGTTTGACTTTCTAATTTTGGGGGAAAAAAGGGAGGAGACCCTCTCTAGCGGGACCTCAGGGAGGCTCTTTTCACGTGGGTTCTAGTCAAAGCAACACGAGCTGGTTTTCAGGCACAGCAGAAAGTATTTGCAAATTGTTGTCTGCTGTGGAATGGGAGGATGGGGCAGCCAGGTAAGCTCAGGTGTGGCGTTTGCCTCCCCGAGAGCTAAGCCAGCACCACGGCTGCGTGATTTCCACTCTGAAGGAGAAAACGGCAGCAGGCACGAAGCGGGTAGTGACAGCTTCCAGGGTCAGGAATCCCAAACCTGACAGAACCCAAAGAGAGTTGCTGCTGTTGGAGATGCTGGCCGTCAAGGACCAGACACGGAAACGGCCTGGAGAAACCAGAATGTGATAAAGGCCTTCTAGGAAAAAACGAAAAGGGGCCTGGTTCTTCAGTTTGGTTGTGGTTTTCAGCAGAATGAAAGAGGAAGTTATTGATGGGGGGAGGAGAGAATCCCGGGCCTCAGCAGATGTGTAAGCCACCTGAGAGTCACCCTGTGACCTTTGGGGATATGCCCTGCTTTGTGCCCCTGTGGCTGGGCCTGGCTTCCTGGGACTGCCTCGAGTCTGCTCTGAGAGTTGCCTTGGCTCAGGAGGAGCCAAGGCCCTCATGTTCACATGCACATGGGGCTTGGGGGGGCATCCCCGGGGACTCCCTCATGGTAAGAGCACTGGTCTTCTAATACATTTTGAAACCTGAAACACTGCAAAGGGGTTGCAAAGCAAAAAGGCAAAGATGATACATAAACAGAAATGTGCAGTGAATTGATGTGTCCTGGTGCTAAGATAGAAAAGGGGTACATGTTCCCTCTGAAAGTGCGAGAGTCCTGAACTGGACAGAGATGGAGTGTATCAGTCACAACTCATGTGGCTGTGAGGGAGAGAGCAATACTGGGTGTGTGGCGACTACAGATGATGGAATTGCTTAATGACTCATACTTGGGTGTGAGGGGACCATATTCCGGCTCTTGGGAAAGAGATGCAGGCCAAAAGGGACCTAGGGTCATAGTGGCCCCAACCTGGGCTTCCCCATCAGGATCCTGCTACCCCCGTCTGAACTCTCTTATTGCTTAGCTCTGATCTGTTCCATGTCCAGAGAGAAGTCAGTATTTCCATTTTAATGAATATTTACATTTAGATGAATTCACGTTGGGGAGGATAGAGCATAGCTAGGTGCATTGCTGGTGTTTCCTGAGCGCCCCACACCTTCCTCATGCTCTCATCTCTTTGTGGGACTCTGGGTCCTGCCGAAGGCAGCAGAAGCTGAGAGTGGCAAAATTGCAGTTATGGTCTCTTCTAGATGACGCCTGGGAGCCAGAGGCAGGAGAAAGGAGGAACAGAAGTTTTTGCAAAAGTGTTTCAAGTCTTCAGAAGTAAGATAGGAAATATTTGTTTGGTTACCAAACAAATATTGAGAACCTACCACATGCCAAAACCTGGGTTAGGGGCCAACAGGAAAAATGAAAATGCACGTTGTGATAAAGCACACTGCAGGAAATAGGCATGGAGGTGGAGAAAAGTGGGGAAGGGGAGAAACCCTCTTTAGGCGGGGTGGTCAAGGAAGACCTCTCTTAGACATGAAGACACAAACCTTCCGAATGTGCTGGAGCATTCGAGGCTGAGGAGCTGCGCATCACTGAGGCCGGAGCTGGCGGCAGAGAGTGGAAGGAGGGGGCGGAGAGACTTGATTGTATTCCAGGTGCACAGAAGATTCACTGAAGGGTTTTAAGCCAGTGTTTCAAGATCACTCTGGAAAGATCCTTTGGCTGAAGTATGGAGAACAGGTTGTAGGGAGTTAAGAAGTGAGGCAAGACCAGTTAGGAGGCTGTTGACAGGACAGGAGGAGGTGGACTGGCCTGACAGCGCCAGGGGATTAGTATTTCAAGATTATTTTGGAATTAACCCAGAAAATGGACAGGACCTGCCGAGATGGGGAGGGGAAATGAGGGTTAACTGATCTGGTTTCTCGGCGGTGCTTTAACACTGAGATGGGGTGGACCAGAGCAGGAATGGAGGAGGAGTCAGAAATCACCGGTTTGGTTGTTATGCAGATGTACAAAAGGTGTCCCAGGTCATTTGATGTGGCATCTAAAGCTCAGAGGAATGTTCACAGCTGGGGATGTAATTCTGGGTGTCACCTGCAGAGAGGTGGAATTTGAAGTCATCATACTAGATGAGATGATGAGAGAAAAGAGAGAAAATACTCCCGGCCCGAGTGTTGCAGAACATGAATGTTTATAGCTAAGCCTGGGTGGAGGAGGAAGGTCCAGGAAAGGGGACAAAGAAGGTAGAAGGAACGATGGAACCCTGGGTACAGAGAAATGGAAGGTGCTGCTTCATAATGTAACAGTACTTGTACTTTGAGTATCTAAGATTGATTGTAGACCAAGGCTTGCTTGCAGCCACAAAGGGACCTGTATTTACATAGCACTTAACAGTTTTTACAGCAACATGCATTCATTAGCCAAGCCTTTAAATCAGAGAGGTGACAAATTAGGGCCTTTCAGAGCACAGTGTTCTAGAAAAAAAGAGCTGGGATTTGGAAAGACCTGGGTTTGTTTCAGCTCACACATTTTAGCTGGGTGAATTTGGGTAATTAATGTAGCTTAATCTGAGCCTCAACCTCCTGATCTGTACATTGGAAAGAATGGCCCCATTTCCTGCACAAGTTGGGTGTGTGGGAGGAGTCTGTGAAAGCTTTGTGACAATATTGTGAGTCATTACTTCTAAAACAGAATGTTGGTGAGGAAGGCGGATGCCCTCATACCTGGGCAGGCACCACTTGCAACTATTAAAAAGTGAGGCTGGCAACTGACCACCACTTGGTACGACGCTTCTAAATAACAGAACACAGTTACGATTTTAAACGATGTGGCCTGTTAATGAATCTCAATCTAATGGTGTATTTCAGCTTTGGTGAATCCAAGTTCCTGTTTCGCCAAATCCTGGGCGTCACATTCAGATGTGAACTGATTTCTCTAGTGAGAGTGGGTAAGGTGGAGGGCAGGGTGTTCTGAGGCCATCTCAGATCAGCAGTTTCCTTCCCATGCTAAGCCTTTCTGTTCCATCAAGGAATGTGGGGACTGGGGCCAGCAGGGAAGCTCCCAGTCCTAGCTCTGCTGCAGTTCTTAGGGAGCCTGGACAACCGAGGTGTCCCTGGGACTGTTCTTAGATTCGGGTTTGGCAGGTCTGGGGCAATGCCTGGGACTCTTCCACAAGCTCCCTTAGAAGGCTGTTAGGCCGGCAGGGTATGGGAACCCAGACATCGCACAAACCACAAGGTGTGATTAGCAGGCCACGGCCAAAGGGAACACAGAGGGGAATCTCAGCCCCCAGAGAATCTTAACCCAAGAGGAAAGAGACAAAATATGTGACAGCTTCAGGTTGGGGCCCGTAGGGGGCTCTGTGTAGCTTCCCCATCAGATTGCTTGCAGGCCCCAACCCCACCTCCAGGGCTCGGGCAGCCTCTTGCCCGATGTGTGGCCCACTGGGCTGCCCAGTCCTTGGCCACTCCTGAATGGACGCAGTGTTGGATTTGTGCAGGCACAGACCACCACTTCCCACTCGGAGCATGTTTCAGAGGTTTCTTTTCCTACTAGCACAGCACCTTAAATGGATCTTTTCCCTTTGTGCCGATGGACCTTGCGGACGTGTCTTCTTGGAATCCCTTCCTGAGCTATTAGATATATTACCCCCACTGATTTTGCACTTGAGGAAGGAAGGGACTAACAGATAACATCGTGACACTAAACCCAATATACTTTGTAACTGTGAAAGAAAATAACCATACGGGTGAGAGTACAAGGCAGAGCTCCACTGGGCACCCTCCGTCTGCACAAGGCCTTTTATTCTGGTGTGTGTGCTCTATCCTGCCTTTGCATGATTTTGGGTCCACTTTAAGGCTTATATCTATGCTTTGTGCAACATCTAATTTTTTTGTGTTGGACCAACAGTGCAAAAGCAACTTTTTTCCTCCACAGGGTAGTGACCTGCTTAACAGGAGTTGCGAGCACACATGTTCAGACACCGGGAGAGCTTAACGGGCCAGTTTCACACGGGTGCTAGGTCAAGAATTCATTTCTAGACTTACTGCTCCAATAACCAAATTCAAGCAACACTCAGAACTTTCTCTGAACGTTATACTTGTGAATATTCACTTTTGGCAGGGGGTCTAAACTTTAGGCTCTAAAGAAAACATACAATTAATCATTCACAACAGAGCAAAACGTTCACACTTTTTAAAAAGAAGACGATGTTTCAAACATACAGTCCCAAATT